GAAGACTTGGGGAAAGTCTTTTTAATCTTGCTGTAAAAAACAGAAACTTTAGCGCTCACGAGAACTGCTTCCATTTTTATTTGGAAAGTGATATTTAGTTAATTATTTCTGCAGATGATTAATAGATAAATTCCTCACGTCCAGAAATTTATTTTAGAATTTTTGGGGTTACAGATCTTGTGTTAGCTACAGATTACTACAGACTGTTCTGTTTTTGACAGATTCTATTTTCCGTGTGTTGTTTGCTTATTTTGATGAATATATGGCTAGTAAAATAGTTTATAAACCATAGAGAAGTTGGAATACAGTAAGTTTAACACCAATGTAAATAAAGAATGAGTTCATTACAGTACCTTGAAGTGATGTTTTGTTTTCTTTCGCTAACGGAGCTCACGAGATTTTCTACTTTAAGTTTTGTGTTGTGAAGTTTTCAAGTTTTGGGTAAAGATTTGATGGATTATGGAACAAGGAGTGGCAAGAGCCTAAGCTTGGGTATGCCCATGGCACCCCCAAGATAATCTAAGGACACCTAAAAGCCAAAGCTTGGGTATGCCCCGGAAGGCATCCCCTCTTTCGTCTACTTCTATCGGTAACTTTACTTGGAGCTATATTTTTATTTACCACATGATATGTGTTTTGCTTGGAGCGTCTTGTATTATTTGAGTATTTATTTTTTAGTTTTCCACAATCATCCTTGCTTCACACACCTTTTTGAGGGAGACACTCATGATTCGGAAATTGTTAGAATACTCTATGTGCTTCACTTATATCTTTTGAGTTATATAGTTTTTGCTCTAGTGCTTCACTTATATTTTTTAGAGCACGTTGGTAGATTTGTTTTATAGAAAATTTTGTTCTCTCATGCTTCACTTAGATTATTTTGAGAGTCCTACAAAACATCATGGTAATTTTCTTTAATTATTTTAGGCATTCAAGATTAATAATAAAATTTTCTTATGAGTGTGTTGAATACTATGAGAAGTTTGAAACTTGATAATTGTTTTGAGATATGGAGATGGTGATATTAGAGTCGTGCTAGTTGAGTAGTTGTGAATTTGAGAAATGCTTGTGTTGAAGTTTGTGATTCCATGAGGCAGGGGCGCGCCCTCCTGGGCGCGCCCCCACCCTCGTGGGCAGGGTGTGGCCCCCCTCTGGAACTTCTTGCGCTCATTATTTTTTATATATTCTGAAAAGGACTTCCGTGAAGTTTCAGGACTTTTGGAGCTGTGCAGAATAGGTCTCTAATATTTGCTCCTTTTCCAGCCCAGAATCCCAGCTGTCGGCATTCTCTCTCTTTATGTAAACCTTGTAAAATAAGAGAGAATAGGCATAAGTATTGTGACATAATGTGTAGTAACATCCCATCATGCAATAAATATCGATATAAAAGCATGATACAAAATGGACGTATCAACTCTCCCAAGCTTAGACCTCACTTGTCCTCAAGCGAAAGCCAAAATCGAAAAATATGTCCACATGTTTAGAGATAGAGGTGTCGATAAAAAATAAAATACGGACATGAGGGCATCATGATCATTCTTAGAACAACAACTTATATGATTATTATCATATGATCTCTTATGCTAGAGTAACAATTCAATCACAATCTCAAGTATGAATCATAAACTTCATTGAAAACTAACAAACTATAATCTCAGTCATTGAAGCAATTGCAATTATCATAACATAGGAAAGAGTCAATATAAGAGCTTTTCAGCAAGTCCACATACTCAACTATCATATAGTCTTTTATAATTGCTAACACTCATCTGATACTTATGGGTATGGAGTTTTAATCGGACACAGAGAAAGATAGGGGTTTATAGTTTTGCCTCCCAACGTTTTACCTCAAGGGTAATGTCAACAGTAATAGTTCATGAAAACTCACATCCAATTAGCCATATATACCAGGATCTTTCCAACATATTGTGCTTGCCAAAGGATAAAATGCAAAAGGAAAGGTGAAGATCACCATGACTCTTATGTAATGTAGGAGATAAAGGTAAAAGATAGGCCCTTCGCAGAGGGAAGCAGAGGTTGTCATGCACTTTTATGGTCGGATGCACAAAATCTTAATGCGAAAGAACGTCACTTTATATTGCCACTTGTGATATGGACCTTTATTATGCAGTCCGTCGCTTTCATTTCTTCCATATCACATGATCGAGAGCAATTTTTATTGCTTGCACCGATGACAACTTACTTGAAGGATCTCACTCAATCCATAGGTAGATATGGTGGACTCTCATGGCAAACTGGGGTTAGGGATATTTGGAAGCACAAGTAGTATCTCTACTTGGTGCAAGGAGTTTGGCTAGCATGAGGGGGAAAGGCAAGCTCAACATGTTGGAGGATCCATGACAATATAATTTATCTCAGATGTAAGAAAACATAACCCATTACATTATCTTCCTTGTCCAACGTCAACCCTTTAGCATGTCATATTTTAATGAGTGCTCACAATCATAAAAGATGTCCAAGGTAGTATATTTATATGCGAAGACCTCTCTTTCTTTATTACTTCCTATTAATTGCAACGATGACCAAAACTATGTTTGTCAACTCTCAACAACTTTTATTTGTCATACTCTTTATATGTGAAGTCATTACTCTCCATAAGACCCATATGATCTCTTTTATTTATTTTTATTCTTTTTCTTTTTTCTATTATTCACTCAAGATCATAGCAAAATTATCAAGCCCTTGACTCAACACTAATCTTTATTATATAGCTCACGGACTCGATTATATAGAAGAGATCATAAAGCAAAACTCACAACTAGATCATACTAAAACTTTATGCTACTAGATCAAGATATTACCAAAAGGAGCGAACTAAGAAAAACAGTAAAGATAGGAGTGTGATGGTGATAGGCACTCCCCCAAGCTTGGCAGTTGCCAAGGGGAGTGCCCATACCCATGTGATTATATCTCTTTTGTCGGTGAAGAAGTTTATGGTTTTGTTGATGACGTAGGTTTGTCGTCCCTCTTCCAAGGCATAGGCTCACCATCATAGAAGGATGACCGAGTCTCCCGAATCCTCAAATCTGTAGCCAAACTCATCCTTTTGAATCTATATTCATACTAACAGTTTTGATTTTGCAGGTCATAGATCTGGGCTTGGAGGTGCTCGATTTTCTCATGAAGCTTGAAGATGGCCTCCCCAATGTCCTTGACGTCCAGCTTGTGGTTGTTGGTGAACTCCGTGATCATAATGTGATTGGAGTCGAGCCCATGCTCCACTGTCTCCTGACACTTGAAAACTTCTTGCTCCAATGCCTCGAGCCTTGCCTCCGTGCTTTCGGTCTTCCTTGGTCCCTCAACATCGCGGATGTGCAACAACCCCTCTGGCTTCGGAACTCTGTAAACCGGCGGGCGTCAGCCTATGTATATAAAGGGATGACCCGGCAACGGTTTAGGGACGAGACACAATAACTCGAGAGCCAGTCAAAGCGGATTCGCTCCTTGGTCATCGGAACCCTAGCAATACCAATCACAACTAGACGTAGGCTTTTACCTTCATCGAAGGGGACGAACTAGTATAAACTCCCCGTGTCCCCTTGTCCGGTTTAACCCCTTTAAGCCAACCTGTTGCGATGGCTCCACGACTAAGTTCTTTCACGAGGACATCTGCCGTGACAAACCCACAACAGGCTTGCCAACTTTATTGCCCCTATGACCCATTTGTCATAGAGATAATTTTTTTTTGCCAAAGTTTGGCGTCCAAATTTCCAGCCACACTTTTGTGGCTTGCCGTACTTTTGTGGCTGACCGCACTTTGGCTTAGCAGAATTATTAGTCTCCAGCCAAACAGACCCTTAGTCTTCAATTCAACAATAGTGCATTGGTTGATTTGTTATTGCAATCTGACTCAATTTCTTGTTTCAATATATACATCCAAACACAGTTCTATGTTTGCCCGACTACGGCAAGAAAAATGTGATGATGGCAGCCAGTCTTCTATTCGGTTTAGTGGTTACAGCCATCGCTAAGGTGATTTATAGACCTAGTTGTACTTCTTAGATAGGGTCTTTGCGCGTTGTTGCATTTTACTGGACAGACTACTTTTTGCAAAAATACACTGTACCTCCTCAAGCAAACAAACAGTGTACAGTGGAACAATAGCGCGATATTTGTTTTGGGGAATCATCGACACACGATCCATGGATCCTTGTGGCTTCATTCGAATACTTTGGTGCCAAGCACTAAGCTTATAGGGGCCCACGACAGCTGCCGGCCGATCGCTAACTTAACCGTGTCCAAATCGTGTTTCGCGAAAGCAGCTGCGGCTGTAGGAAAACCCCAAAATCATGAAGGAGCGTGTCTCTCATGGCTAAATTTCGTGTTTTGACTCTTTTCTGAAACCTATTTGACATTTGATCTTAGTTTAAATTTTTTTTGAGATCTAACTTTTTTGCTACCGTCAGGGATTATGGTGGTATGATATAACATCTTACCGTCAAGGTCCCTGGCGATAGGGTTGAATGCCCTAGCGCCAAAAACCTTCTAAATATTAACCACAGTGCGTGCTCGTGCCTACCGTCAAGGTGTTTGGCGGTAGGGTTGTGCAGGCTACCGCCAGCCCGGTTGGCGGTAGCGATGTTTTCTACCGCCAAAGCCCCTGCCGGTAGGCTGTTAGACTCTACCGCCATGGACTTTGACGATAGCAAAAGGTCAAATCTCAAAAAAAAAATTTAAATTAGGATCAAATCTCGAATAGGTTTTAGAAAAAAGTTAAAACACGAAAATCTGCCGTCCCTGGTCAGACCGGCCGTATATACACGGGGCGCTGCTGCACTCCACAGACCGGCAGACCCCTCCTGTCCCCTCTACCTCCAGCCCCGCTGTCCAAGATTTCAATTTCGAACTCGACAACCTCCACCCGGCGGCGACCAATTTGACGCATCCACCCTCCCACATTAAATCGAGGCAACCGCGCATCCGCCACCAGAGAAAGAGCCATCCATCCATCCGGACCGGAGGTCGAAGAGCAGGAGGCCATGGCGCTCGGGTGGTTCAAGGTCGTGGAGGTGCAGGTGCAGAGCGCGCGGGCGTACCAGTGGAGGTGGGAGGAGAAGGCGGGGGTCGTGGTGTCCCTCCTCGACGACGCGCTCTTCCACGTCCTCTACGCCGCCGAGGCCGTCGTCCTCTCCGCCGCGCTCTGCGGCTTCTTCCTCTGCTGCGGCTGCAACATCTGATCTGCGCCTGTCGGCCTGATCCGTTGCCGAGGGAGGCGGCCGTCGACCCGCCCGCTGGGCCTCTGAAGACATCCATGGATGGATCCCTGTGCCTCTGAAGACCTCCGTGGATGAATCCCAGTTTTGACATGCCGCGACTCGCCCTCGCCATGCTGTTCTGTTTTTACTGTCCCTCTTTTCCGTTTCCCTTTAGTTTCTCTTCGACTGAGAGCACTCGGCGTGCTCCTCGTCTGTGTACCCTCATGGAGCAAAAAATTGTAGGGCGGTGTCCCATTTCTAGAGGCTGATGCATACTTTTCTTTTGCCTGAACTGCGGGCAGGCTTGCTGCTCGGGCCTCTTGTTGTCAGAGTGCGTGCTCCCTGTGTTAAAAGAAAAAAAAAGAAGAAAATGCGTGCTCCCTAGTAGCTCCAAATGGAAGCTATTCGGTCTCACTCAAGGGCCTCAAGGCTAACGCACAATGTTCCGAAGAGGAAAACGAAACGGAGAACTGCTCGCTTGGTGCTTTGCTTAAGTTATTACTAATACAAATGTCCGTGCGTTGCAACAACAGGCAAGAAAATCCCAAAACTTATTCCCTGTGCATTACACATCATTTCTTATATTCAATTCTGATAAACATCGGTGATAAGGGTACACTATTATTGTTTTTTGAAGCATGACAGTGGACGTAGAGGAGCTACCCGAACATCCTTCGTCTGGTGGAAGAGTAGTGGTTGATGGACATGAAATAGTGTCTCAATCGGGTTTTGCTTTTCGGGAAAACACTAGTATTTATTTATTCTTTTTATAAAATTAAATATTTTTTGATTTTTGAATTCTTTTATTAGAATTAGAGCATGTTTTGAAGCCGAACATTTTTTAAACACATGATTTTTTTAAGTTATGATTTTTATAATTTCATGAACAATTTAAATGTATTTTTTAAGAAAAATGAACTCTTTCTTTGGAAATTTTGACAATTTTCTAAAAGCATGAACATATTTACAAATATGATTTTTTTGAAAGCAAGAACAATTTGCAACACTCTTTGTCTAAAAAAAACACAAACACTCTATGTTCACAGTTAAAAAATAGGATTACTGGTGTCCAAACCATGGAGTATTAAGTTGAGAAAGTCATATTGATGTGCTTCAATGTCGCCTCCTTTCGCTTGGAGCGGTGTATGTGTTTTTAGTGGGATATACATATGATGGAATTGCTGTATATCGTTTGAGAGTTCAATAACTAATCAAAAAGTTTTTCAATTTTTTGAAAACATTTGAATGCAAATGGATTTTTACAATGTTGTTTTTTTAGAGTTGGTTAGTTGTTTGGTTTGAAGATTTTATTTTATTTTCATAGCAGATATGCACGTGTGTTGCAATGGAGAGAAAATTTATGTATCCCTAAAATAAACATTAGCGCAGAACGGCGGGGGCACGGAGGCGATGCCGAAGTATAGAAGAAATGTACTCCCTCTGTCCCATAATATAAGAGTGGTTTTTACACTACATTAATGTCAAAAACGCTTTTATATTATGGGACGAAGGGACTATATCCTATTTTAGTGTCCATCATTGCAGTGCATGCATGCATGTCCATACATGAATTGGTCAGTTTTGATTTTAACCCTGTGAACCAAGTTTAGGATGAATGGGCAGGATAATGGTACCTCAGTACCAGCAAGAATTAAAATCGATGTTTGATGCTTTGATGTCTCATAAAGGCGTCACATTCTTCCTGTGAAAGGCGACGTTCGCGTCAATAGCGAGATGTTCGTGGTGATTTCATCAATCTCATTACAGGTCAGCTCAATCTCTGTAGGATGAATGTATGTACGTGTTTATGAGTGTTTGCGTTTGTATTGTGTTTCTAAAAAAAAGGTTTTCTTTAACCTTTGTATGTAGCAATTAAATGTGTGGCACATTGCAAAGAAAAAAAAAATCACCACAAGTGTTTAGTGACTCGTTCATGTCTTTGGACGGCGACGATGGTAGAATTTTTTATGCCCACATTTTTTTCTATGAAGCTACATTCATGTCTTTTGACGGCACATCCTTTAGAATCACACTATCACCGGATGAAAGAGTAGTGGTGCACTGAGGTGTGATTGTTTATATACAACTTTCTATTAATATTCGAAAGAAAATAAGCTTTTCTATGTCTGTTCTACCATAGAAAATGTTGGTTGTTTGACTTGCAAGATTATATTTCATTTCTTTCTTTTTGCACTTGGCCCAAACACAAGCATTTCACGTTGACGGTAGGCTCTTTCTCTAAAAAAACACGCGTACTTTGGAGAGATGCACACGCACGCACACCTCACAATAAAAAAAACTTTCCTCTAATTTAGAACTTGTACGCGGACGCCAGGGAATATATTTGTTTGCCTAAAAAACAAAAAATAATTGTGGGAGCCAGCGTGATTAATTGTTGGTTTCGCCCCAGCCCCCTTCGTTCCTCGTGCTCTCCGCCTGTCTCTCTCCATGCTTTCCTCTTTGTTCATCCGTTGGCTCCTCCCCTCTCCCTCTTACCCACCATTGGATGGTATTTTTCTGTTCTTGAATCTTCCCGTCCTCTTTCCTTTGTACAATTCCTAAGCCTTGGGATAATTCATCTTTTTTGGGTTCTTGATTTGATTGTTTCTCAGGCTGGATCGAAGCTCCTGTGTCTTGCTGTCCTTTACACTTTGCCTAGGTATATAAATTGTTACAATTCCATGTAAACAATCGAAGTGGTACTATATTATTGTTAATACTTATGTGAAACCCAGGTCAGGCAGCCAAAGGCGGCTCGTGCGGGCATGCCCATAAGACGGCGTGGCATAGGCAGGAAGCGTATGTAACTCTTTAGCGTGATCATGCATCTCGAATCAATTGTTTAGTACCACCTCGGAAAAGTATATGGCACAAAATAATTTTATATGGTGAATGGATGAAAAAATTGGTGAAACGCATCTTACTTTATTAGTAGGTATAGATAATATAGATATAGATATAGATATAGACTAGCAAAAGTGCCCGTACGTTGCAACGGGAGAAACAAATTATCACCCCTAGCGCCCCATTGCCTGCATGAACAGATAAGCGAACGGCCGCGTTTGAGATCCCGGTCAAATCTGCATAATCTAATCCTTGCGCCTTGTGTTTGTGTGATTCGGATTTTACATCACAGTAGTTTAGTACCAGTCCGTGAAGGACACAAACAACCACCAAATTCAACTTTAGTTGAAAACGATCAACACCTTTTTTGCGGATAACACGACCAGCACCAAAAACAGTGGAGGTTGTGAGATTGATCCGCAAAGAAACTATTTTTGTCTCATCTTCTAAACGGGATGGTGGGTTTGATTTGTTGGGCCGGGTCGCACGGACAGGTTAGGAGGGCACTGTTTTTTTATTGGTGGAATATTGCGCGGGTGAACGGGGTAGGGGCCAAGTGGCCCAGGACAAACGATTGGTAGAATAGCCTAGCTCAGTATGAAGAAACGCCATGCACATATGAAATAGGAGGGCCAATAATATTATACCTCCATTTATATAAAAAAATAGTATATATGCCCGTGAGTTACAACGGTAAAAACAATTGACATAAATTTAGTAAGAACTGTATGCGCAAACATAATGTTCAATGTGTTATAAATTTGATGTAAGCTTAGTAAGGACTAGAGGATGAGACGCACTTTACCGCGCCGTCATTTAGACATGAGTTAAGCCTTCCTTTTTGTCTGACATGATATTATGGTTGGTGGCTTTGTTGTGTGTTTTACATGAGTTAAGCTGACTTTTGGTTGCACGGATGATTTTTTCTTTTTGTTCGCTTCGCTCTTGCTCGATACTAAATTGTTATATGGATGGTCATGGTACTGTCATGTGTAACATAGAAATCAATATATGAGTGTCACGTTCGTCTTAGAGTGAACCCAAGCAAATCGCCCATGAAGGATCCACTCTCTTATAGGTGGGCCCGCTAGCGCCCCAAAGTAAGCCATGATGAACCATGAGCCAACATTCTTAGAGAGCTTAGAATTTTAAAAGATATGATAAGGGGAAGTAAAAAAAACAAAAAACCCAGAAAAAATATTTGAAAACAAAATGTTTAGTTCCGCCATTCAACATTTGGGAAAACTTCTGAATAAATAAAGAAATTGAACCCTCATCAACGAACAAGCAAGCCAGCTAGGAAAAGGTTTAAGACCTAGACCATGAAACTAATAAAACTTACCGACACAGTCCAAATTTATACAAATCAAACTCTCAAGCTGAAACCAGCAAAAAACATTTTAAAACTTTGGGTTAAACCCATTTGCTCCAACCAAACCAAGCCATTAATTTGAAGTAGACATCAACACATGACCAAGCAGGAAAGAGCTCTTGACATGAATTAATCCCTTTCAACAAGCAGTTGTTGACATAGATTAGAGCAACTCCAACATGCTGACCCAAACTGTCCATGTGTCCAAACGTGCGGAAACACTGGCCCTACACAATGAACCAAACCGAAAAGCCGTCCGCTCGCTGTCCGTTTGGACACATTTATGATCGATTTGTGTCCACGCTGACACGAGACGGACGCACTGCGCAGCTGCTCGGTGCCCACCTCGGGCCCGCGTGTCGGCCGCACAACTACCCCACGCTGCCGTAGTCAATGCGTTCACCTAACCCGGACCCGCATGATAGCGTCTAAAAGCCTCATGCGTGCTCGTCCTTTTTAGTGCAAGCGGGAGGGGTTCATCCACTTCTCCTCCCTGTCCATATTTGGCCACGCTCGCTCCCCTCGCGATCGATAGTGCAAATGCTAGCCATGGGTATTATCGGCAAGAGAAATCGACACAGGCGCCAACTCATCCGGCACACCGACTCCACCTCCGCTGCCGACCTCATCAGCCTATGACACAATGGATTCGCGTGCGCTAGTGCTCACCGGCCGCGGGACCGACTATACATCCTGGTGCACCAAGCGCGCTGGCACTGGCATTACTGCCAACCGCTGCCGTGGCCGGATGTTAACCTACCTCACG